AACTTTCAGGGCCGCCAAGCAAGAGAAGACTCCTACGCAGGCGGCTGCCAGATAGACTCCCTGCGTGCTATGTTGGTTCTGGCAGCGTTCCGAGGTTGGCGCTTGGCGTCCACTGACATTCGAAATGCCTTCATCCTCGCCCCGATCAAGGACGAAGAGGATGATGATGACGGTACGGTCTACGGGTTGTTCCCACCGAAGGTGTTTCAAATGGTTCTGGTTCCCTACTGCTATCAACTGTGGCGGGTGGATCGGGCTCTTTATGGATTCAGGAGGAGTCCAAGGTTGTGGAGCCGATTCCGTGACCGGCGCCTACGCGATGCTCGGGTACCATGTGGTCCTGGACATCTTCGCCTACGGCAAAGTCGAGCAGATGCAAATGTGTGGGCCATTGTGTATGAAGGGGCTAACGGGGAGTCCGAGGTTCGGGGTCACATGAACATTTATGTAGATGATCTTCTGTACGTGGGCAGCGAGGACGAGATCCTTTTGGTCCAGCAGTGGTTGACCTCGGAATGGAAGGCCTCGGATCTTACCTGGGCTACCGAGGACTCGGTGCTTCGCTTTCTTGGTTTGGAGATCATGTTGGTGAAGGACGGGGTGAAGATCGGCCAGCAAGCATTTGTTGAGGAGTTGATTCGACACCACAAGCTCCAAGAAAGCAAGGGGTATGGCACTCCTTGTCCTCAGGAGTGGTTGCTTGGTGAGTGCGAAGAGTCGACGGTTGATTACACTCCTGAACAACTTCGTAGGGCCCAAACCCTTACTGGAGAGCTCCTAGGGTTGAGTGGCCGGAGTCGACCGGACATTATGCACAGTTTTTCAACTATGTCGTCACTATGCATCAAAAATCCAGAGCTAGTTGAAAGGATTGGGCTCCGCGTCCTGGGGTACCTGAAGGCTACAGCGGAAGTTTGTTTGTGGTACCGCCCTGTGAACTCTGAGTATGGGGTGACGGGCTACTCCGATGCTTCCTTTGCTCCCCTTGGCACGCGATCGGTGGGATGTTCAGTTGCTTGCTACCTTGGATGCCCGGTGAGCTGGCGATGTGGCCGGCAAAGCATCGTTGCTTTGTCAGTTGCAGAGGCGGAACTACTTGAGGCAGTGAACTGTGTCCAGCTGATGTTAGGACTGTCGAGCTTCGTGGAAGAGCTCCAACGCGATAAACCGCGTCACTGCTTGCGGGTGGACAATCAAGCTGCTGTCGGCCTTACGACCGAGAGCTCTGGGACGTGGAAGACGCGCCACCTTCGTGTGAGAGCTTTCGCCCTACGTGAGGCGGTGCGTCAAGAAGAACTACGAATCAGCCACATAGAGGGCTTGCGACAGCTGGGCGATTTGGGAACTAAGTGCTTCCATAAGCCCCGTCTGGAGCAGCTTCGCGATCTGTGGGGGCTATGGGATGGTTGTTCTTCGACTACTACGACTGGTGCGAGCGGGTCATCCTCTACTACAACAACGAAGGCCTCTGCTGCAACCTCGGCTGTGAATGGTGTTGCTGGGATCCTTGCAAGGCTTACGTTGATTTTGGGTTGGTTGGTTCAGGGGTCAAGAGCTTCCGATGATGGTCCAAAGCCGAGCCTGGAGCTCAGCTTTGCTTGGGAGCTCTATGGATTGGCCATCCTGTCAGTGATTGCGGCCATTGGCGTCTGGGAGCTAATGAAGTGGCTTCTGGGGCGTTGCTTTGGTGCCCGCGATGATTTTTCGGAATCCAAGGAGGCTCGGCGTCTTCGTAAACTACAACAAGTTGTACATGAAGAAGTTGGGAAGTATGGGCTGGAAGTGGGAGTGAAGGTGTCCTCGTCTCCGGGACCTACTACCCAACAGACGCCTGTACTGGAGGCTCGTGAGGAGCGCCCTTCCTCTTCAAGGGCACGCCTTGTCACACGTGGCAGTCAGACTGATCCGTTTGATGATGGCATGCGCCAACACGCTGGTCCCTTCTTTGCGAGTGAGCAAGGTGATAGAATTCACCACGACCCTAATTGCAGGGGCCTGCGGAACGCAGTACATCGCACAAGGCGCTTAACCCTTTGTGCATATTGCTATCAGCGATGTCCCCTTTACGTCCAGAGTGATTTGTAGGTGGACTGATGGCAAGCACTCCCATAGTCCATGGCCAAGGAGGAGTGATGGGATTCAGCAAGTGTGTTTGAGCCTCGCAACACAGACGTGTGCACAGATGCTGTCTGAGAGAGGTTCATGATCGGCAGAAGCCAGGCATGCCATGATCGGCAGAAGTGTCAGGCGTTGCCATGATCGACAGAAGCCACGTTGAACGCGTTGGCTCAAGATGCAAAAAGTCAGGACTGCTGAAGTGAGGGCCCTTTCGGGGCTCGTTGTTAGGTGGTCCTTTTGTTCTGTGGTTGGGGTTAGGTCTTTGGGGGTTAGGTGTCTCCTGGAGATTCCCCGACTTTCGTCAGGACATTCAAGGTTTTGTCAAGATTTCGTTCTTAAGAAGACGTAGGTTTCTCAGCATGGATTCGTCAAGTGCCCGTCCCGGTCGTGAAGATCAACACATCCGTAAAGAAGCTCAGTGGAGGTAGCCCGCCGTACAAATTCACGAGATTGTCGGCTAGCCAACTCATGAGGACCCGTAGCATCGGGATGATGAGCTGCCCGGGCTTTATCGGAAGCCCGAACTCCAAGCATGCAGAGGGCAGGGCTATAGCCGCAAAGCCTGCCTTCCAAGGCCCTGCTGCATTTCCTTAGCCGTGACCTTGCCTTTGTCGTTTAGGCAGGAAGAGAGCCAATTCGCTCGTTTCTTGGACATTCCTAGTGGAGTACTCCTCCATCCCCAACCAGTCCACTCTGTAGCCACCCCGAGTCTTCGCCCATTTGAAGGGATATCCCAGTGATGAGCCCACATGCAGCTATCCTGGTCCGGGTATAGCCGGGGGCACGGAGTGCCAGGGTTTAGGTGATTGTAGGAGGGCTGACCGTTCCTCCGTTCGTGTGCTGCATGGGCTCCGCCCATTTCGCTTGTGACTAGCCCCGAACGCGCCTTCCCCACCTTATGCACATACATGTGTCAGGGGCATGTGCACTTGTCTCTGAAGTGCTGCTTTTCAGTTAGTTGCATGTTTGTTGTAATTTGTACATATATTGTCCAAAACGAAACGTTTTGGCTCAAGCCCTTTATGCTACTTGCGCACGGCAGAAAGTAGGTTGTCAGTGTAGCTCTTGAGTTGCACGCTTGCGGTCAGTCGTTGACGCGGCGGTGCTTTCGGGACCTGAAGGAGCCTGAGCTCGCGAAGCAAAAAGCAGCTGCGGCAGCGTGTTTGCAAGTGTTTTGCAAGACCGTTTGCAGTGCTTCACAAGTACTGGTCATAGTAGGAGCCATGGTCGTACAAGTACTAGTCGTCGTCCTTATATGAGTTGAAATACTATTTGTAGCCTTCCGCCCTCAAGAGGAAAGCAACCTGTCTTGCTGTCCGAACGTCGGCTCGGATTCGCCCTCTGCGACTCTGCAATGGTTTGTTGCCCCGAGTGCCCGATAATACTGCCCTCACCCCCCCTTTCTTTCTAAAACAAAACACATAATAATGTCTTGCTGTCCGGGGGTCGATCCGCCCTCTGTCTGCATTGGTTTCTTGCCCCAGGTTCCCGATAGTAGTACTCCCCCCCCCCCGCTTCAAAAAAAAGATAATGCCTTGCTGTCCAGGGTTCGATCCGCATTGGTTTGTTCCCCGGTTCCCCATAATAATAGTCCCCCCACCCGCCCGCCCCAGCCTCAAAAAAGAAAGACATAATAATGGTTTGCTGTCCGGAGCGCGAGCCGCCTCTGCCACTCTGCGCTGGTTTGTTGCTACTAGTACTAGTATGGTACTCGTAGTAGTAAGGGTAGTAGTAGTAGTAGTAGTAGTAGCAGTAGTTGTAGAGTAGTAGTAGTAGTAGTAGTAGTAGTAGTAGCAGTAGCAGTAGTAGCAGTAGCAGTAGCAGTAGCAGTAGCAGTAGCAGTAGTAGTAGTAGTAGTAGTAGTAGTAGTAGTAGTAGTAGTAGTAGTAACTTAGTAGTAGTAGCAGCAATACGTGCTATTAGTGGTCGCAGTGGTGGCTGATATCGTTCTAGTAGTATATGTTGCTGCTGAAAGCTGCCAGGTTCATGTTGTTGCCGCCCCCCCCCACAAGAAAGTGAAATGCCTTCGCGTGCGCCCTCGGTCGATTGCAGCCGAGGTGTGCTCCCGAAAACCCAACAACAAGCTCGCCACGAAGAGGTCGATTGCAACCGGTGGGTGCCACCAAAAGCCCACCAACAAGCCTCGGCGTGAAGAAGTGGAGGCTGATTGCAACCGGGGGCGTCCCAGTCCCCGAACGCAGCGCTGTCAGTTTGCGGTAAACTTTGCGGAATGAAGGGGAAAGAAGATCAGAAAGAGGCAAGGAGAAGAAGCCGGAGAAAGCGACAAGGAGCAACAAAAGTAAGCCGGCGCTGTCGCGTTTGGAAGGCTAGGATAGGTGCTCATAGGGCGTGGTGACGGACCACCAACTCCGAACTCCGAAACCACCACCCTTAGTGCGGCCCCTGGGGTCCTGCCTAGCGACCTCAAATTAAGTGGAGGTGTGGTGACACTTCACGGCCACAATCACGATGACCCCCAATGGCAACAGCAATCGCGCTGGGAGCCCTCCGTGTGCAAGGTTGCCCTGATTCGAGTTTCACTCCCGAACCGGCTGGAGTTCAATGTGGAGCTGGATATTCGTACGGACCCAGCATCACGAACCTAGGATCCTCGAAACAGGGCCTCTTCCGAAGCAGAGCATAGACGAGCAAGAATCTCAGCGTGCGTGTGTGTGTGTGACTTCGGAACTCTCCTTTGCAACAAGCTAGAATCCCAGTCAATCAGAGGAGATGCGCCCAGCTTCAAGTGGCACAGCCAAACATCAGAAACAGCGGAGAACAAACAATTGAAGGACGGCACTAGAGCCAGTGTAGGCCAGTCACTCGCAAAGCGAGGAAGAGTTCCACAGAGTAGTGATATTTTCCTGCTGTATGCGAATGAAATGCTGCTGCGGTTGCTTATTGTTGCTGCTGTTGTGGTGGTGGTGCTGGTGGTGGTGGTGGTGGTGGTGGGTGGTGGTGGTGGTGGTGGTGGATGGCTGTTGTGGTGGTGTTGGTTTTTGGTTGCTTTCCAGACAAGACAAAAGGCACGCTTCTAAGCCGAACAAGAACCCGCAACACAACCAACAGCAACAATAACCACAACCACTACAACAACCGCAGCAACAACAACAGTAACAGCAAGAAGAAGAACAACAACACCAACAACGGCACCGACACTTGCGTCTGTGCCTGTACCAACACCAACAACCAGCAACCACAACGACCACAAACACCACCCACTATCCAACAACAACCAAAACAGCCAACAATAGCAATAACAATAACAACCGACAACCACCAACCACAACGACAGCGACAATGTTATTCGCATGTGCGCGTGTTTTCGTTTCGGGGGCCTGTGCTGTGTATGTTGAAGGTGGGCAAACATGTTGTCGTCGTTGTGAGATTTGCATGTCCCTTGCAGGAGCACCGACTTCTTTCAGAACGCCTCGCTACTGCTGAGCAGGCAGGCGGCCAGCTACAACAAGGGTCGTGAAGAGCCACGACACCAGCCGTGTGTGGGACGTTGCTATGTTGGGATTCTTTTTCCAAGTGACCTTGTGGGCGCTTGTCGCATGATCAACGCATGATTTGTTGCAGGAGAAGGCTTCTGTGGAAGCCAGGCCAGGCACAGCTTTGCGCAGCTTTGCGCTTGCTGAGCCTGCAGCCCGATTGAGTCTTTTTATTCAATTGACTGAGGTGTCGACAGCTCGAGGCCCTGCTGAAGGCGAGCGCCGAGCGCCCCAACCAGAGTCGTGGGGGAGACGCGAATTCGCACCGCTTTTCGCCGCGAGGAGCAGGAGCTGGTGCTGGCAGAGAGCCGGCGAGAGGCCGCCCAGGCCAAGGAGGAGGCGCCCGGCAGCGCGCCACAGCGCGAGCGCGTTCGTTCTGTGGTGAGCGCGGCGAACCGCTGCAGGTGGAAGCTCTGCAAGCCAGGCCAAGCGGGGAGCGTTTCGTTCTTTGCAAAGATGCTACAGGACTGAGCTGCTGAGCTGGCAGGTGCCAGAGCCTGGAGAAAAGTTCTCAGGAGGATCGGTCGACGAGTCCTCGCCGATGTTGCCGGTCGTGGTGGGGTGGGCCTTGGCAGGTGCGGAAGGTCGGCTGGGAGCTGGTCGCGAACAAGGACCTCGAAACAGACGCCAAGGCGCTGCCCGCTACCTCCAGCAAGACTACAATGACTACAACACTGTCCCTTGAGGAGCCTCGGCCCGCCACCTCGCAGTCCGTGAACTCCGGGACCTTGGTCAGCCACAGGGCGTTGAAAAGCAGAAGCGGAAAGAGATGGCGTGAGCTCAGCTCCTGGCATCCGAGGCTTCGAGTCCGCGGCGTCCCAGGCCTCCCTGATCTACTGCTCCTCCGCCAACTCCCTGAGGCGCAGCGACGCGAAGAGAAGAGAGCGAAGGGCAGAAGAGAAGGAAGAAGAGAGCTGCTGAGCTGCTGCCTCTCTCTCTCTCTTTCGGTGGTTCTGGCAAAGGTCCGTGGCGGAGTGGGTCTTCCCCTTGCAGAACCGGATCCTGCCCCCGGAGAAGACCTATGCAGGGGACCCACTGCGCAGCGGAGAAAAGAAGCGGCTGCGCAGCCACTCTGTCACGACGCTGAGGATCGGCAACTCCTCGCTGCAGCCTGAGCGGACTGCTGCCATGGCTCCGTGGCTGCCGTGGCTCAGGCCGCTCCTCAAACCGCCGCTCTCTGCCGAGGCACCCAGCGATCCCCGGCGCCAGTGGTTGGAGGCGTGAACTGCTCAGCACAGCACGGCCCGCAGCTTCCCCTTCCCGCCGCACGGTGCAGGAGTACATCCAAGGCTCGCTGATGTCCCACCGAGACCCGCCGGATCAAGCAGAAGAGGGCTCGCAGAGTCCTAGAGTCCTAGAGAGCCTGCGAATCTCCGGGAACCGCGTCGTCTCGGCGCCGCGCAGCTCGCGGCTTTCTGAGGAAAGATGTACGACTCGGAAGAGTGGTGCTCACCACCACAGATAGAGATCATCCGGATCTCAGAAGTCTTCAATCCCATCGTCAACAACGCTGCAGCCTGAGATAAGTTAGGCAGGCGCCCAGGCTCAGGAGCTGATGACACGAGAGCCCCAGGCTTACTACCAGCAGCTCTCTCAGATGCAGGAGGCGCGCATGGGGCAGCCGCCGCTACTAGGGAGTGCCCCGGAAGCGCGCGCTGCAGCGCCGCGGCTCCGCTCCAGGTCTGGGGCACCGATCGCCAAGCGGTGCCGGAGATGTCCAGGGCGATTCCCATACGAACCGCCTGGGACCGGAACCGGATGAACGAGGCCAGAAGAAGGGACGGGGGCAGGTGGGCGGGTGGGCGGCGCGGTCTCTGTGGTGCAGCTCTGCTCAGCGCCTGAGGTGCTGCTCTTTCACGGATGCAAGTGGGACTCCTTGTTCGGCATCTTACGCCCGGGGGCCCAACTCAAGCGCTGGGCCAGAGCAGCCAGGGCACGGCCCACACCGCTTCAGGTGAGGGCTTCGATCCGCGCCTGGGTGCCCCCGACACGAGCCATTTAACTGCGAACTGCTGCGAGCTGCAAGTCTATAAGACTTGCATGAGGGCCCCCCCCAATGCCCAAGTGTCTCTCAGCTGAGAACTCTGGAGTTTCGGAGGAAAGTGGCCGCCACGGCCACCAGAGACAGAGGGTCGCCTCGGTTGTGTCGGCCAGCTTCGGATCAGGATCACCCCCGCAAAAGCCTTCGAGTCAAGAGGAGCCACACCTACCTGATGCTGCGCGCAGACAAGCCGTCTGGAAATCCTTGTGACATTTGCAGTCTCTCCGCATACACAGAGCCCTCAATCCCGGCTTCAGGCATGATGCCGCGCGAGTCGGATACAGCGGGAGTTTTAGGGGTCTGGATCTTCAAGCTTTAGACGCTGCCCTCAACCCTGCCCACCCCGGCCCCGCGTCACGAACATGACCACGTCCCGATCCGAAACCGCCCATCCTGATCCTGATGCGAAACTGGCCCATCCCTGATGCGAAACAAGTCTAGGATTCTAGGACATAGGGAAGCCATTCAAGTTTTGAGCCTTCGGGTCGGACCGGAGATTGAGTCGTCTTTCCTCGTGAGAGCTCGTACTTGTAGCAGGAGATGACGTTCGTGGCAGGTGGCATCAACACCGGGGCTGCTTTTGGCATCGGCTGCTACTTCACCACCGTCCAGGGGCTCAGCCCAGAAAGCCGACGCGAAGCGCTGCTTGGCTTCGCTTCCTTCGCTTCGCTCCTTCGCCGAGGTGGCCTCCAAGGCGGACGCCTACACCGAGCGCTGGGAGGAGTGGGAAGGCTCCTCCTCCAGCTGAGACTCTCTCTCTGTCTGCTCTCAGTCTGCTCAAGGCCGGCCGAACTGTGAGATCCCGGCAGACCTGCGAAGCTCGGCGGCCAGTGCAAGAAGTCTTCTGCGAGAGCGGTGTGTCGAAGTTACACCGGGGGGGGGGGGGCCGGGGGGGGGGGTTCTTCAAATTTTTAGAGTCTTTGAGCCGAGCGGCGGAGCGGGGCAGCGGCGGGGCCCCGCGGGGCCGAAAGCGGGGGATGGCAAACGGAGGATGGCAAACGTCAGATGCTTCCGCAGAGTCCGAGGCTGCTTGCTCGTTGCACGGGTGGCGCTGGGCGAGGCGCGGAGCAGGGCCCAGAGGGGGGCCCTCTGCCCCAAACCGCAGAGCAGCAGCGGAGCGCAGCCTCTGCGGGGAGAGCCTGTGCGGAAAGCCTTCGCTCGCGCGAACTGAGATCTCCGAGTTGCGGGACGCCGACGCCTCGCTCCGGCGGCCTCCGTGTAGCACTGCAGGTCACCCAGTCATAGAGCGTCAGACAGTCAGAGGGCCCCCCAAAATCGGCCGCAGGGCCGTAGGGCACAATGCGCTCGTGCCCAGCGATCCGCAATGAGGCAGACGTGCGTTGTGACTCCGTCCTCGGCGCCTGGCCTAGCGACATATTTCTACAAATTACGTAGAGCTCGTGCGCACAGCGGGGGCGGACGTGTCGCTGTGTCGCTGCGCTGAGGCGTGCCCAGAGCCCGGGGCGGCTGCGTTGACTACGATGAGTTTGTCATCTACAAGCAGGCGCTGAAGCGCTCGTGGCGGGGGACGTCCAGTCCAGGAGCACAAAGGGGTGTTTAGTGAGCGGACGGGACGGAGACCTGTGAGAACCCCCTTTGGCAAGGGTTCATCTCAGTTGCTGTGCCATGCCTCGCTGCATGCCAGACCGAACAAACTCGTAGTTTATGTTCCATCATTCATGTCTGCACTGCGCCGGTGTTCCTAATGCAGGGGTTGCTGCTCATGATGATTTGGTCTCCTGATCAATGCCCAAGCGCAAGCTTGGGCGAAAGCCGGAAACTTCTGATGCTCATGATGCCTGCTACATCCCATTGTGTGTTTCAAAACTCGCCTGACAAGCCGCAGCTGCCTCACCCCCACACGCACACATAGGCAGATTGCACGCCCGCACGCACGCACGCCGCCACCCCGGCACTCGGCCACCCGCCCACCCAACCAACACAAGCAAATGCGCATGCACGCGCGCGCGCGCGCCGACGCGCGCCATCGCCTCGTCTCATGCGTGTATACTTGCAGACTGAATGCGTCGCTTGAATCAAATTCGATTCGACTCTTTGTGCCTTTGCGAAGGCCCAAGCCACGCCGTGATCCCAGAAAAGTCTCACTTGAAGCAGACGGCGCGCTCACGCCCGGATCTGTTGCGAGGCCTCAGTTCATCGTGGATTACAAGCACATTGATTGCTGCACCTGCCGCAGTTGCATGCGGGAAGCCATTGCCTAGTCCGGCACCCCGGGCACCCCGGGCCCCGGCCGTTCTGGCTCTCTACACGAATGTGTAGAGAGCCGAGCACTGTTTCACAGATCGCCGTTCGGCGACCCCCCGATTCAGCTCGTGGGCAAGAATGGAGGGAACTTGAAGTCTGCTGAGGCTGCAGAGGTGCAGCTCCGTGCTCTGAGTCAGCGTCTCTTTCGCAGTCCCTTTTAGCTGTGTGTTAGCTTTGGGCGCCTTGCCATGCGGCTCTTCTAATACGAGCGGCCCGAAACCAAGAAAGAGGAAAGAGAGAGAGGATGAGGGGGGGCTGGAAGCCGCGAGCTGCAGAGCCTTGGAGTGCTTTTTGCTTGAGGACTGTGGTTCTTTACCTGGGCCCCGGGACTCCGGACAGTGCCGAGCGCTTCGGCGTCGGCCCAAACAGAGCAGAGAGCAGAGAGCGGAAGACTCACACAGAAGAGGGGAAGAGTCGGAGAGGTGCAGAGAAGATGCGCTCCGCTGAGGCGCTGGGTCCACCGCCGGACCGCCGTCGTCCGCGGTTTGCGAAGCTCCGTTGGCGGATCCCCGTGGAGTTCGGTTGGATCCTTCGATGGGCTGCGCACAGGGCGTCGTGTCCAATCCGGTGCCCCAACGTTAGGGCACCGCCAAGTACAGCTGCCAGCAGCTGCCAGCAGCCCAGAGTCCAGAGTCCCTGAGGTACAGCCCGCGGCGATGGAACCCAACAAGCCCATCGAGCCTGTGCATCAACATTCAGAGACCTCCTTGCCTGGCGCCTGGAATCTGGAAGTCTAAGACTCTAAGACACTCTACCAATCTCTCCATATCTCTCCTCTCTGAAGGTCGCAGCCGTCGGGCAGCTTGAAGCAGTCCACGACTCCTCTCGAACGAAAGGTGAGTCGGGCTCCCAATGCCCAAGCGCAGAAGAGCAGCGGTGGGGAAGAGTGGTTGGATTTCTGAGGCAGCGATGGCTCGCCAATTGTCATGGGGAAGTACAAGATGAGCATGACCAAGCAGGAGCGCAGAGCAGCGGAGACGCCACGGACTAGCGGGACTAGCGTGGCTGCCGTGAGGACCTGATGGGCGAAGGGACCTCGAGCATTTGCCGAAAAGGCGTCTGCATGGAGCCGCCCGGCCTTCCAAAACAACTACAGAAGAGAGAGGATGAGAAGCTACGCACCAGCCGCCTGCGACACATATTGCTTCGTATCAGTGCTGGCTGTCGTAGGTGCAGCTACGTTAACCAGCAACGAAATTGCTTAACTCTGGAACCATCGTCCTCGCGTTGCACTTTTGCATGTCTGGTGTTCTGTCGCCTTTACTCTGTCATCAAACTGAGCTTTCAAAAACCGGAGGTTTACCTGACGAGGGAAGACACTGGGCTGTTGAACGTTGAACCTTTGAACATAGGCACAAACCTGGTCTCCTGCAGTCTGAACAGGTCAGTGTTCATTCGTTCTGCTCTGCGCGTACTGGGGTTTCTGTCGGAGGATCTGCGTGCCAGGCCAGATGCGTATGTACTGTATGTACTGTAAGAGCATGAGACCAGACTAGGATCACATGTTAATCTATTGTAATATATGTGTAATCACTGCATTTTCAGTCAACAAACCATCCTGAACTTTCACTCTCCTGCGCTCTGTCCTCGCGTACTGCAGGGGGGGGGGGTTATCACGAAAACCAGATTCTCTCGGATCTTTGTGCCAGACCAGATGCGTCTGTGTAGGTGCTGTAAGACTGTAAGAGCATCAGACCAGACGAAGAGATCACATGTTTATAATCACTTTCACTCCCCTTCAGCTCGTAAGACACGGGTGGGCCTTTGTCTCGCCCCTGACGCCGAGAAGATGAGAATTGCAGTTGCTATTGAAACTCTTCCGGCCCGGCATCAAGAGAGTCGTGCTCTCGAATGTTTCAAGCGCAGGTGTGTGCGGGGAGGGTGCATCCGGAGGGGTGGGTCTGCATAGACGTGATGCAAAGCGTCGTTCTGAGGCGAAGCTCCCCATCGGAATGATCCTGTGGTCAAACTCACTCCTGAACTCCTGAGTCAGCAAGCGAGTTGAGTTGGCAGGGCCTTGAAAATGGCGGCGCGAGTCGAAGAGTGGAATCAGAAGTGACCCGTTTCGGTTCTGGGCAAGGCCGTGCCCTTGGGGCACCGTTCTTTGGGCTCTCGGTGTGGTTGCTACGTGCTCCTGTGATGTGACACTGCACCGTTTAACTGCTTGGGGACGCGCGCCAATCTGCGCAGCTTTTCCACATCAGAAGAAGCGTTGCAGCGTTGCTTCTGCTTCGGCGCGAACGCGCGGTGGCCCGGGACCGGCCTCCGGCCTCGGACCGAAACCTCTCGTCACGGCGTCGGTGTCAAAAAGCCTTCCTCCCTATAGCAGTTTCCCTTCGACCTCTCAGCCACTGGACCCACAAACACCGCGTTTTCGAAGCCCAGAGCTAGCGAGAGCTAGCGAGAGAGAGAGAGAGCCCAGAGAAAAAGCCTTTGAGCTTTCAATTGAGGACCGGCACCGAAGTGGCCATCAAAGTCTACAAGGCGAGCCGGGCGAGCCCGCGGCTTCTCACGATATGGCTCACCGGCCGCGCTGAGTCGAAGAGGCTTTGAAGGAGACCCACAAGGGCGAGGACGTGCGGCTGCAGAAGTTCCGCAGGCGCTGGGTGCACGGCACCGCGTTTTGAGTCTAAGAGACAGGTCTGGGCTCTGCTAGGCCCCGTTACTGTTAGGCCCTCTTGGAAACCGTCTGCGATTTTGGCACACATGAATTCTCAGGCAGATCAGCGTCCTGAAGATGTTGCAGGAGCCCTTCGGCACCGTGCCCGAACCCAAGGAACCCAAGGAAGCTGCTCAAAGCACGTCGCTCTTGTCTTGTCAGGTCGGACGAGACCCTCTGGCACCCGCAGCTCGCAGCGGTCAGCTGCACAGAGAGCGAGACAGAGAGAGAGAGAAACGGCGGCCGGGAGAGCCGAGTGTGTCTGCCTGGCAGACGAAGCCTTCCAAGCTCTTCATGTCGCTTCTGGACTACAGCAAGGACAAGAGTCGGGCACCCGGCAAGCGGAAACCCTGCGGCAAGTTCCTACACAGCCTGTTATGTGTGTGGAACCGTGTTACCAAGGGACTGATATTGGTGTGAGGGTGGTGTGTGTGTGTGTGGAGCTCTGTTACCAAGAGTAAACTTTTCAGTTTGCAGGGGTCCGAAGGCTCATCGGCTCATCATACAGCTCGGGCCAACGAAGCTCTGTATGATGTAGCCAGGAAAACGTACCTGCAGATCAGTTCCTGGGCACGGGTGCGTAGCTTGACTGATCATGTCACTACAGCTGCAGCATGCTCACGAGGGTCTCAGTTGTCATGTACGGTGCCAACAAAAAACCAGAATCGACAAGCCTTGATTCTAGATTGGTTCCGGAACCCCGAAAGCTTCATGCTTTCAAGATGCTTCAAGCTGTGCTTCATAAACAACAGGTCAGTGGCCGCGGGATGGATGTTAAAGGCCTAAGTGCGTTCCAGGTAATGTTCCAGTACTTGCAAGCTGGTTTTGTATTCGTTTATCGTTTCCTGTCAGACTGATCCAATTTTGACAGGGCTACCTGATAGGTTTCGTCGTGAGGCCAATAAGATCCGAAGAAATTGCGGCACCGAAGTAAGTCGCATCCGGATTGTACCAGAGTTGATGGTGCTCTTGTTGCTTGCTTCATGCAAGGTTTGATGCCAGTTCTCAATCCAGGTGTTGAGTTGTGAGATCCGATGAAACTCCGCAGACCGCGTTTTCAGATCCGATCAATCCCAGCTGGAACTTTCAAACCGAACCATGTCGTGGAACCGTGATTGGTCCGCTGCCTCGTGGTCGAGTCTCGGGAGAAAAGTGGATCGTCGGGTTGGAACAACCGCGACTGGCAGCGAAAGCCTGTCAGTTCCTCGCTACCTCCGCAATCGTCGGTGCCGAATGGAGCCATTTCGATTCCATCTTCATTCTCTCCTGATTGGGAATTCTACGATAGCAATTCGGTTTCCAACAAGGAGTGTTGCCGCAACATCCAGTCGACACCCTGGTCCACGAATAGCGGATTAGCAGGGAAGGATGTTGCAGAACTTCGAGTGGCCGATTTGACACGTAAGGGACTCGATGCTTACAGTCTCCGCTGCTTATCAAACGGAGAGTAGTGTTTGTGGGATCCTTTTCGGAAGCAGTTTTCGTTTCGAACCTGCTGCGCCCTATCATTGCTGTAGACGTTGGCTGTGGCTGCTAACTTTCATGGCCCAGCTCCGCTTGATAAACTCAAAGAGTCGGCACGGTTCATGCAACCGTTGTTGGGCGAGATTTCAACAATCAAATCGCAAGCACCAGCACCCACTACCATGACCACTTCGAGCACCGAGAGTAAGAACTGGCAAAGTGTGTGTTTGTGTGTGAGCCCTGTCACCAAGGGATCGCTTTGTCAAAAAAGCAGGGGGCAGCAGGGAGTCCACAGTTCTGTGCAATTTTTCTCTGCAGTATGGCGATGAGGCTAAGCCAGAAACCTCAACAATTGTTGCTGCAATTTCGTGAGAGTCCGAGTTGTCATGTACAGATCAACCAAGCACAAGACTGATGAGCCTAGAGGCCAGACAAGTACCGGACCTCCTGGAAATGGATCTTCCAATGATGACGTCCAGCAGTGCTGGTCAACCACATGATGAGTGGCTCCGCGATGGATGCCTAAGTGTGAACCAGGTAGTTGCAAGCTGGTCTTGTATTCGTTTATCGTGGTACCTGCGGCGGGGTCAGCCCGCGCAAGTACCCGCCAGACTTGACATGACAGAGGCAGGGTTTTTTGCTCATAGGTTCCCGAAGTGGAACCGCCTGCTCCGAATAGCACTTCAGCTCTGCTGTTGCCGGCATTTGACTACTTCAGTCGCGATGTTGTATTCGATGCAGACTTCATGTATGTTTTAGATGCCAGGTTTCATTGCAGGTCCGTACCTTTTTCGGATCCGATGGAACCACAGGCTTTGCTATCCGCAGACCACG